ATAGAGTGTCTACATTATACCGTGCGTATTTGACGACCTTTCAAAAGAAAACCGTTTTATTATGCACGTGTTAGTCTAGTTACCTAATAAAAGTGATGTCAATTGCATCCTAATTTTATTTTATTTTTAACAATACCTCGGTGTAGTCAATAAATGTAAAATTATTCTACAACTAAGACAGAATTTCCTGACTAATGCTAACGTCAAAAATCCGGTGACGTTGCTATGTAGTAAATATATAATATATCTTACTTCCGAATTGAATAAGGTTAATGTAGTTCATGCTTCATAGAACAACAGTTTAGTGTTTTAAATTATTTCTATAATACAAACCATATTAGAATTCTCAATTTCATTTATAAGAAGTTATAAAGATTAATAAGTTATTGGATTAAAGAAATGGTATTTCCTATTGTACTACAATTTGTGATGCGCTTCGTTACAAAAAGAATTTTTATCAGATTTTATTTTCGTTTTAAATTTTGCCTTACCAACCTGATTAAAAAATAAAGAAAATGTGTGATAATTTTTAAGAAATTGAACTCAACTATTTATTCATATATGCTTAAAATCTTTTAATAATTATGGAGATTCCTTCATATCGACGAAATAAATAGAAACATCTTTGGTATTTTCAGTTAAAGACCTTTTCGTTTTCATGTGTCGAAATGTTAACGGGCTTATGAAACGTATACATCGAAGACGCGATCAACATAATTAAATATAGTACAAGTGTAGGGAGAGAAATACGGGGGCAATAGATTAGTATGCATATAGCAGTATTAGCATCTACCAAGGAGGAGTTAGATATAGCTTTAAATAAAATAGAAGCGGTATTGACAAAACAATATTGTATGAAAATATGTAAAACTAAAACAGAAATACAGGTATGCAAGGGAAGAAAAAGTAGGGAAAGAGCCAATATAAAGATAGGAAGGAACGAGTAGTAGGGATAAAAAGTAAAAGATAGCTCAGAGTTGAGTCGGTTTCAATAAAATGAAGTCACTGCTATGCTTGCGAACGGTGAATTTAGAAATTCTAAAAAGATTGTTAGACGGTGGGCGCGGCGGAAAAGAAAAGGTTAGAAGCGAAATGTGGTGTTACAGGCGAATGATGAGGATACCTTGAATAGAGAAGGTTAGAAATGAAGAGCTATTAGAAAGGACAGGAGAACAGGGAACTCATTGGAAGTCAATAAGAAATAGGTAATAATAGATGAGGATATCGTGGGTAGAAAAGGTTAGAAATGAAGAGGTATTGGAAAGAATAGGAGAACAGAGGACTCTATGGAAGTCAATAAAAAATAGGCGAGATAGGTTGGTAGGACACCTTCTCAGGCATGTAAGTCTAGTCAGAGACATATTTGAGGCAGAAACAGGAGTTAGGAGGGGTAGAGAGACCTAGATTAGATTAATGTTCACAAATAGTTAGGGATTTGGGGTGTCCTAGTTTTAGGGAAATGCGAAGATTAGCTGAGGATAGGAAGGAGTGGAAGTGTGTGTCCAACTAGTCTTAGGGCTGACGACCTTATGATGATTACAAAACGACAATTAAAAGAACTACAATTACAAAAACAGAAGCATATTTATATGGAGAACGGAAGACGATTTCACAACTAGGGCCTCCAGTGCTTATCTACTCCCAGTCGCATTATTTACACTCTAACACTGGTAAGCCGCCTGGGGTTCATGAGATCGCCACCTTCTCCTGCCCTTGACACTCATATCAACCGGGCCAACACCGGTCCCTTTTGATGAGTGTCACTGGGGAGGCTATTTTCGCGAATTTCTACCGCACATCCTTATTGATGTTCGGACTTGTCTCCACATTTAATGACCTTGGGCGTGTGGTCTGTCTGCAATAGTTCAATAGATGGTTCGATACGTCATTGTTTTTAGCCCATTTTTGGTTGTATAGCCAGGCACATAGTTAACAACCGAGTCAATGTTTTTGTAATGTGCAATATGAATCTGAAGGTTCATGTCGTTCTAAACTACCTATACTTCTGCTTCGCCTATATGATTGACTGGGTCATATGGCGTTTTTGCAAAATTGAGTGGTCTTATTTTACAGTGTATTATAAACCTTTTAAGAAATATTCTTGTGGAATTACCGCAAACTATTTGATTACACGATCATACGCTTTAAGAAACAATTTGTGCCTTTTTTGAGTAAGAAGTACTTACGTTCTATCTCTCTCCTTTCTTCGGCTTCGACTAGTAACTGATCGGTTTCTTTCCTGCTCTCGATTACCCAAAATATACAAGCACCAATCATGATATAGACAATGAAAATACATAGAAGAACGAACCATTGCTTTTTGGACATCATTTTCAACCAGTCTCAATCTGGAACAACGTTTTCTATAACTAATTGCACTTTTATAACAGTTTTGAGAAGTACCTGTCTGTAGGTATGTTTTTAAGCTAAACTTTTTTATTAATTTCACGGGTATCAAAATAATAAGCCTGAAATTAATCTATCTATTTATAGTGTATTAAATTACACGAAATGGTTTCTTAATTCTTAACTAGTTTGACTGTGAATTTGCCTGATATATGATGATTTACAGACGCATTATTTTCATCAAATCAGTTAATTACATAGCCAGACAAAAATAAGTTTCTGGGGTTCTGACTATGTATGTACGAGGGTGGATTGATAAGTTTCCGGCCTAACCAAGAGATGACGCCACTAGGCCTACCTTGAGGTGACATTCTATAGTACCATCCTTGGATAGCTTGTAGCTATAGTTTCAGCCCGATCTCCTTGCTAGTGTAGGTTTGACAGCACGCTGAACAAGACGCCTCTGTGGTTTTCGTAAAAATGGAAAAGCAGGAAAATCGT